ACACATTGAAAATTTATGCAAATCATGCCAATTTATAGTGTATAAATTTGCAGCGCGCTTAATAAGGTGTAAAATTAAGCAATATTTCCCTTCAAATTGATCTATAATATCATTAAATCAAGTTTAAAAAGTATGATAACAGGTTCTACAATAATAAAATTACATATTAGATTCGATACAATTTGAAACTTCAACATAAGTGAAGCATGTTATTTTGCATATTCTCATTATTTGAACTTTAGAAAACCAGAATTTCTTTTTGCAACAAGTGCTTCAATTAAAAAAACTAAGGTAATTGCGGAACAAATATTTACGCACAGTTCCTTTTCTTTGACATAAGAAAGCCCAAAAATATTCATTGAAATAATGTGAGGAAGAATTACTTCTTGGTGTGATGATAACATAGTCGCGAAAATTAAAAATGATAAATAGTCGTAAAAATTTCATGCTCCCAATTGGAAGCATATAACGAACCGTTCGAATTAAAGAAATAATAGTTAAAAGCGAGTTGATTATTTGAGTCATAACAGTTACTAAATTAGAATTATTTCTGGAAAAAAATTGAATAAATAGGAAATTATTCATCATTGATTAATATCAATTAATTATTAAACATAGTGAAAGATATTATGAGGAATGACTGCGCTTTGCAAATTAAGTAGTATTTTTAAACAATTAATTAGTAACTAAAACTTAAATAAGGTGACCTTCATATTTCTCAATGACATCTATTTTAAAATAAAGCTTAAAATTTATTCCATTTACGTAGTTAATTCAGTTGTTAATCATTAAAATGTCGCAGTTTTGTATTCTTTTATACCATAAGGAATGTAATGTCTCAAGATCATGTGTATTAACAAGGACACATTTGACGTCAAGAGAAGTTTTGCACTTATTACTTTTTACTTTATTTTTGTTGGAATATATTTTATAACACAGNTATGTATCATGTATATATGTATCATGTATCCTCACGTTATTGTATTGATATATTTTGATTTGGTAATATTAATCAATTATTAGAGCGCATTTTATTTTGCGGATATGCACTTGTGAGCTCATGACGAGAGTAGATCGTTTCATCGTGAATTTTTCAAATTTTTAATATTATTATTTTTAAATTATTCAGAAATTTGATATTAAATTTTTAATAGAAAAGTTTTTAATAAATTTTAATATTTTTTCTTCTTTTACTTGAAATTCCTTGATCCATTTTTTTTTCTTGTTTTCTTCTGTGTTTCTAGAAAATCTTGTCTAAAAATTCAGTTTTAAATTAAAGCTATAAAATTAATGGTTTATTTATAAACTTAACAATTATATGTCAGTAAAAATAATAATTTACTTTTAAAACTAATAATTGTATCCATAAATTTGAATTTATTTTTAGGTCTCAACAAATAGGCAGTTTTTTCATTAAACTTAATAAGATTTTTAAATATTTTTTTTGAAAAAAGCACATTGCAAAATTAATGAAATTAACGACTCACCTTCAGTTAGAATAGAATTTTTCAATTTTTCATCAAAAATTTATTATTGATTTAAATTTATAATATATAATAACTAACTATAAATACTTTAAAGCATTTATTCAAGTTGAACGATAGCAATGAAATGAAATCAAGTTGAACCATTGCAATGAAATTAAAGAATGTTTAATTTTTGTGATAATATAGTTCAATTTCGCAATACAAAGAAGTTTCAAAAAATTGGAAGAAAATTATGGTACAACGCGCTTCACAATATTAAGCAGTATATAATAAGTTAAAATGCAATCATTAACTGCTATATCCGTGCAACTATATGCTAGTAATTATCAAAGCATATTTAACCATTGAAAAGTACAGTCTCGGGAAAATCAGTTTAACGTTAAATCATAACATCCGAGCCTTGAAACATACCATGCGAGTTTGCTGCAATATTAAAAAGGTGTTAAACAGAAACGTGTTTCCGTTAAGCTTAACTGTTTCATCAATTGTATGTTAATAAAGTTCTACTTGTCACAGCAGCTTTGCACTATAGCAGCCTAGAAATATTTTAGCAAATTCATACATTAGCATATTATGGTTCAATATAATTCACAGTTACAAAGTGTTTCCGTTTAAGTTAAACTGTAGCACCAAGTGATTTATTTCGAAAAGGGTTAGATTGCATGATAATATAGTTCTTTTCGGCACCGCAGCTTTGTACGACAACAGCTTGGAAAAGTTTCATCAAATGTAAACAATACTATGGTTCGTAACGTTGCACATTTTTATACAGCATATGATGTACAGAAATTCAACCACTTACTATTCAATCTGCGTAATTTTAAGTTGCAGGTGGTGCAATTAAAAAAGAATTATTTAAATATAAAATTATTGCTTTACAAAAAATGTAATTATTAAAATTTATATTTAATCAAACAATTACTAACACGCGTTGAATGTTCGAGGTCAAGACCCTGTCCAGAAGACAATTCTGATCTGTATTCAATAAATAGGAAGTCCTTGTTAAACTAATCATTCATCAATTCTGATCTTATCAAGATCAGCGTAAATAACATCAAATATTGTTACTCAACGACAAAGAGCGAGTAGCGACTTAGCGTTGTTCTGACCGTCTCTATCAAAGAATGAAGTTGCTATTTTTCTATTCAAAATATTATTAAATAAAACATTTTTAGTGAACAGCTAAACACTGAATGGTTGCTTTTTTTGACCAATTGAATGCAAGAATGTCTGGCGCCAATCTTGATAAAGTGAGACCAAGGTTAAAAAAAGTCTATGTTTTATAACTAAATTATGTTCAGCTAAAGTGGCATTCTCTTTTGTTTATTTTGATTAAGCAAATCCAGATTTCTGATAGGAAGAGTGGTAGAGTGCTTCGTAATCTTTGTATTCGATTAACCAATTTTTAAGAAACAAAGTAGTTTTCTAAATTAGAAAGCCTACACGCAACTTTTTAGTAACTGAATGATTAAGACGTGCTTTGCTCTAAAACTCATTCGGAAAACTTAAGTGAATATGAAAAATATTGTTTAAATTTAACTATTTTTCATTTTTTATTTACAGGAATATATACAATAAGGTAAGAATTTGAAGTGGATATTTTGATTTTGCTTGTGTTAGAATTTGAAATAAACAAATTTTAATATTATTACAAATTTATTTAATTTTTTTCATTTATTTACTTTTTTTCAACTTCACAGAACTAATACTTAATCAAATGATACTTAATAATGCATAAAACAAAATGGATAAAAATTTTAAATATTTCAATAAATAAATATTGCAATACGAACACAAGCGAAGCCGAAAATGAAGTTATAATTCCAAAAAAATTAAAATTCTAATTCTAAAAAAAAAATTTCTAATATTTAGCTTAACTATGAATTTAATATTTTTGAGATTAAAATAGATTAAATAAATATAAGTAAAATAAATTAAAACAAAGTAGAAGTTAAATAATTTTCCTATTCAGTCTATATGAATATATATTACAATAACTCTGGAAATTTGAGTGAATATTTTGACTTTATTTAAATCAGAATTTTAAAGAAACAAATAATAATTTTATTGAAATTTAATTCATTTTATTTATTTATTCTTTTTATTTACTTATTAATTTTCTTTTAAATTTTATGGAATTAATCCTCAATCAAATGGTAAGGAACATCATATGAAACAAAATGCTTATTACGCTTGATATATTATGCTTGATGAATACATTTTACAATTAGGAATGCAAGTGAAACAAGAAAACTAAATATGAAGGAAAAACTGTCATTACAGCGAAACTTAAAAATTCCAACTTTTTGTGGAAATAAAGATCATCATTTACTGAAAATTATGGTTCGAAAAAGAAGAATAATAATAATAACAATTTTACGACGTTCAATTAAATTACGATTCCGTTTATCTAAAATATTTTTTTTTGTTTACTTAGCAATCTACTAAGCAATCTCACATGCTACTAAGCAATCTCACATGCTAATTAGAAAATTTTTAGACCCTTGGAATTGTATTAGTCTAACCAACATTTCCAAAAATTGGAGAAGTTTCGAATGATATTTAAGGCAATGATTTTTTAACCAAGAAAAATGCGCAAAAATTTTGCATTTTTTATTCGCATGATGTAAGCAAGAAACTTTAGCTTTTAGAAGTAAAATGAACTTTTTAAACGCACTTAACATCAACAAAATTTTACATAAACATATATACTCATAATTTTTAGCATTTTACAAACTGTAACTGTAGACAAATATAACCAAAACTGAAGAAACATAAAAAAAGCAGTTTTCGATTTGAGCAGTAAAAAAAGCATAGCCATTTATAACTTGAAATACTCTATATCATTTATCCCTCAGTAATTACCTAACTATATTTCGTTCGTTCCTCTTGTTCTTCTAGAAAAAGGGAAATAAAATATTTTGTTTTTAATCATTGCGATAAATTACGATTTCATGGGTTTTCATACGTAAGTCATCTGGAAATGACATATAGAAAAAGTGCTAAAATATCAAATCGAAAAGTACAGTATTATGAAAAGTAATATTTATAAACTATAAAAACATTTATAAGGGTTTAAACACATAACTTTTCTGACGTTGTAATTTGAGTTTGTGACTTTGTTGTGAATAAAAAATGAGGAAATTTTGAGTTTTTTTTCTGTTACTGCTTTAAAAATAGGGTTTCGCTGCTTTTGTATGTTATTATTATCATTTATTGTTATAAATTCCTATTTTTATTCTTTACTATACATAGTTTTATCTTAAAAAGTTTGTAAATGTTTTAAAACAATATTAGAATTTGCTATATTTTGAAAAAAATAGCAGATTTTTCCCAAGTTAGAGGCAAATAAAATAAATCAACTCATTTATACGCATGTTAACAACTTAGTGCCAATGTTTATCTACTACCCTAAACAATTTGCTGTAATCAAATTGAGAAGGTGTAATCGCTTAGTTTAAAGAAGCGATAAATTCACTAAATAAGATGTGTCAACTAGCATAAAATCGCGATAAATACATTAAATAATAGCATTCCGCATCTATCACTTCATGATATCGTATGATTCTACTTCTTTCTGAAAGCACAGTTTAATGCTCTTAGTTTATTATTATCAGAAATTGGCCAGATTTGGCTCAAATTGTATAAACTATAACAGATATTCGGACACAAAGGTCGCACCTATTTAGAGACATTGTATTTACTGTCAGGTTGCACTGTAGAGTGAAAAAAAACTATTTCGTTCTCTTGCATCACTATATGTTTAGAATATTTAAAAAAATATTTTAACTTTATTAATGAAAACTTATACATATCGCAACGTGATTTTCCCAGCTTCCCAGTAAAGGTTATCGGAGAATTGTGAAATCTGCGTGGCAAGAATAAAACAAAAAATTTGCTGGAAAAATGAAAGAATTAGATTCAGGTGAATAATGGAATATTTATTTTAATTTTTTAAAATAATTTTTACCATATATTTCAATTGTTAAGCATACTAAAAATTATAAGAGAAAAATAAATTAATCAAACTGTATGTATGACTGTTTTTAAAATAAAATACATTTTAAAGAAAAAATATAATATTTTTTCCCGCAATGGCTAAAAATTTATTAATAGTGTTCCCTAAAACTGAAATTTTCAAAACATAGAACTTAATCTTAAAATAAAATTTCTTAAAAACATTACCGCCGTTTTGTTCATTATAATAAAAATGTGTAAAAACTAACTTTGTTAAATTTTAATTTTTAGATTTTCCTTGTACATGAAATTAAAAAATAGTCGAAACAAATAAAACAAGGTTTACGGATAAAAATAAAATTGAAAAGAAAAAGTTAATCTACGTTTTATAAATTTTAAGTTGTAATGTTTATTTAATGTTTTATAATTTTTAAATATTGTGTTACATTAACTTTAATTCAGTATTTATTTTATACTTTATAAATTTTTATTACAGTGTTTTTTAAATGTCTTATAAATTTTAAATATAGTGCTTATTTAATGTTTTATATATTTTAATTCATTACTACACCATTATAATTTCATTCTTAAGTAACCACCCGCTCAAGCCACTAACATTGCATAAATGTGAAATTTTGTGTCCCCGTTCTTAGAGAACTGCTATAATAATAATTCTGTTAATTCTTCATGATAAAATCTATAATATTTGCTTTATAATTAGTTGAAGCTTAATTATAAATATTTAAAAAAGTAAAATAATTAAAAAATTTAATAAATAATTAACACCTATTAGTATTGAATAGTAACACCTACGGTGTTAGTTATTTATATGAAACGTTATGAATTTTTACTTTTTTTAAAGTTTTCTCAATTTAAAATTATTATAATTTTATTTTTAAGTAGATACTCTCCTCAATGAACTTAGACTACAAAAATGTTAGCTTTTATACCTCCTTTTCTGAAGACTGCCATAGTAATAGATCTTTTTATTTTTTATAACATAGTATGTTTTATTTGTTTTATAACTAGTTGAAAATTAATAAAAAATGTTTAAAAAATAAAGCAGTTTAATAATTCAGTAACAATAAACACCTAGGAGGATTGAATGATATATTTTATATTGAGGATTTTCTTGTCAGTAAAACTTTATTATAATTTTATTCAAGTTTCTGCTCGCTTAAAGGAGCTAACACTGCATTATTTGTAAAATTTTATTCTAACACTTTTAAGGACTGATATAGCAATAATTCTGTCAATTCGTTCTGATAAATTCTAGGTAATGTATTTCATACTTAGTTGTAATTACAAATGTTTAAGTAAATAATATAATTTAACAATTTATTAAATATTTAACACACATAAGCACTGAGCGTGTGTTAAACGATATATACATTAATGAAAATTTCTGTTGCACAGTTACTTTGCGTTTGTACTGTGCAATTGAAATTGCGTAAATTAGTCTGTTGGTTTATCCGCAAGAAGCTAAACTATCATTTGAATAAGTGTCCAATCTATTGCATATGGTATAAAAATGAAT